ATAGTGGTTCTACACTTGATTTCATGTAGTAAAAGACAGAACACCATTTATTTAAGTGGTGTGATGAAGCTTTACTTGATGAGATTCGAAGAGTAAATCTTCAGCAAAGGAGAATCGCAGAGGAGATTGGAGATTTGAAAAAGAGTTTGAAGAAGATGGTAGATGAAGAAGTTCTGAAGCAGACAAAACCCGACAAAGTGGGTTGTTTAGGATCTATTTTTTGGCTATTTCGAAAATTATGTTACCAGGAATGACTGAATATTTATGTAACCAAGGTTTTCTTATGAATGAATCATTTTTCCTTGTCAAAAGTATTGAGTTTACAGTCAAATTCTAGTCGAACAACAGAGGACTTTAACAAAGTTTACTTTGAACCTAAAACCGATGATCTACTAGAAATCTTTCTTGTATGATGAAAAACATGAAACAAACTTGTGCCAAATTTAAACAATGTTACTAGAAATTAACCAAATACAGTATGAAAATCTGAACCAGAGTTGCGAAAACGCAGCAAAAAAAATCAACTATATTGGCATATTGCAAGTTGCTCTGTTGTCGCCACCAAAACCACACCTACTGCACCTGCGAATCTTACCTCCCTGTGATCCTTGTGATGATCAAATTTTGTCTTCAACAGTTTCATTTTTTTTTCTGTTTCTTCCAAGAGACCTTCTTGTCTCAAGTGGTAACACTTCAGAATTGTCCACATCTTCAGGGACACACCAAGCATCTTCAGGAACAGCAATGGGATTTATGCTTTCTTGATAAGCTTCTCTCCAAGCTTCCGTGGTGTATATAAATTCAGTCAACATGTGTGGTTCTTTGCCAACATAGAAACCGGCTTTTATCGCGTGTCTACAAAGAATTTTCAAGAGGTTGTACTTCCCACAGGAACACAGCCGAGTATCCAAATCAACGAAGCAGTCAATTGTCTCACCCTTAACAAGGAACTGATAGTCGTTTATAGGGTAAACTACAAAAGTTTATCTTTCCCGATTCTCCAATCAATCTTTTCCTCCACATTTATGGTCAAAGGATGCGCATGCTTTGAAATCTTTCTCTTACGCTTCAAAAACCACTATGTCAACATTTCTCTAATCTTGTCCAACAAAGGAATTAACGGAAACTCTCTTGGAGTGCGCAAGGCAGAATTTATAGATTCAGCAGGATTGGTTGTCCTAATGTCATACATGTATCCAACAAATTGACATCTAGCCCACTTTCGAACATCCGCTCGCATTAGATAAGTTCCTATTAATAGACTGATATTGAAAATATGAGAAAATATCTTCTTGAAATCAGCCACTCTGTAAATCTTTGAAGCCTTAGCAACCAGCCCAGCTAACCCCCTCCCCTTGAAATTTGAAATCACATTGTTCAACAGGTGATGAATACAAATCCCATGTGTAGCTAGCGGATAGACGTTCTTAATTGCCTTCGCTATAGACATTTGTTTGTCTGAAATAAAAGCCAACACCATATCATCAGAAACAACTTCTTTCAATTGTCTCATAGACCATTCCCAAGCATGATCATTCTCAGAGTCTACTACCCGAAAAGCAATAGGATACAAATTTGAATTTCCATCTAAAGCAGTTGCAACCAGTAACACTCCTTTGAATTTATTCTTCAAGAATGTTCCATCAAGAACAATAACACGCCTCATAACCTTGTTAAAGCCTCTAATAGATTGGCCAAATGCTAAAAAAAAATAGCGAAATCTACCATTGATGTCAGTCTTATAAAAGGAATGTGTACCCGGATTAGCCTCTCTCAGCATGTGCAAGTACTTTGGTACTTTCCCATAGCTTAGCTCTGGAATACCTCTGATGGCGTTGACTGAAATTCACGGGAATCCCAAGCTAAGGATTTAGAGATCTCACATCCATAATCATTACGCATAATCTGAATAATATCTTTTGCTTTAGGGTCTTCTTTGACTCCTTCATATTTATGCATGATCAGACCATCTATGGTTTTCGCTGAAGCTGTCGTACCGGCTAAACTTTTGCTTGAAGGTGCGCAAGAATGTGTACCAACATATCTTAATAATAATAAAAATGTAGAGCCGTTCATATAAGCAGCTCGAACACCCCAATTGCAAACCTTATCAGCGCATCTAATACACCAAACTGATTTATTGGATTTGATAACTCTGTAGTTGAAGTTATGCTTTATTGCACATAGCTCAAACCTCGCCTTCAATACTGCTCTGTCAGGAAAATATCTCCTTTCTTAACTAACTTAAGCACAAAAGTCTTTGATAAATGTTCTCTATTTTATATTTCAGAGAAGATGGTGTGAGCAACATGAACATCTCCATCAACATTGTATTGCATCATCTTTCCTTTTTTCTTCACATGATACTTGTCAGCATCATAATCATCTCCATCAGTCTCGCAATGCTCCATCTTATCTTTTCTCTTGTCGTTATGCTTAGCCCCTTTAACATTACTTGAACCGCCCCCATTAGCACAAAAATTTCCTTCCTCCTCTTTACCAGTACATGAATCAGTTGGCATCTTATTAAGATCAATGTCGACCTTATCTGGATTCTCTTGCTTTGGTTTATAGGTAACACACAACAGAGTTGACTGATGCTACTTACAAAACCCTAGAAAATTTTGCACTTGGCGTGGGTTTCCAATGATCATGGGTGGACATTCTGATGTGTTGATCAACCCAATAGGTATGTAACTTAACTCCAAATGAGCATCCGTTTCTTCCAAACCAAAATCCTCTATAACAGCTTTATGTAACTCTTCCAGAGAGGACTTCAAATCCAAAGCAAGTAACCTTCCCCCTTTGTTTTCATCATCAAAAAACTTCCAACCTGAAGATACAACCGATTCCCAAACACCACATGAAGCATAGACATGGAGCATCGTTGAAACAATGTAAAACTTTGTCAAATTATTGGCAAGAATGGAGAAAAGGCGTGAGAAGAACCATGAGAATAGATTTCGCACGATTTTTCCTTTTTTGAAAACAGTTTTTCCTTTTTTTATTGTTTTTTTTTAAAAAATCGAATTTAAAAACATGTAAACTGAATATTTCCAAATATTCTCTTCCTATATTTTCGGATCTTGTTATACTTATCTGTAAAATACATATTCGACTAAAGGTAGAACTGAGTAAGGAAGTTTGAAATAAGTTTCTACAGGTATTAGAACAATAGTAAGAAAGTAGATTCTGATTTCTACCTATATTAGAATTTTCGAAATATTTTGATTCTGGTTTCTACCTATATTAGAAGTATATGTTAAATGCGGAATGTGTATTCCAAAATATTTTAGATTAATATTAGTTCCGTAGAACACGTATTCTGAAACTAGTAGAAATAATGAAAAAAGTAGATTTTGGATTATGTTCAGTAGTACACGGATTCTAATATCTGTAGAACGAAATAGAAAAATATAATTTACACATTTTTAAGAGTATAAAAAAATCACTTTATAAACATAGGTATTTCATCATTATGTATTTTAAAAAAAAATAATTCGATCATAAATCTATTTATTTTATTAATTTCTAAAAATAATAAAGGGCATTGGAGTCAAAAATGACACAAAATATAATTTAACCTAAAGGGACAATACCCTAATGGATTTGATCTACAAAGACAATTTCCCCTAGAAACTTTTGAGATAAAAAAAAAAAACTTGAACTATCCTATCATTCTAATATTTCTAAGTCTCTGTGAAAACAATTAAATTTATGAATTTGATGTTAGCATATTTAACTATATGTTTTACCCTATCTATAAATTATATATTTATTATTTTTCTTTGGATTTGTAAAAAAAATGCTATTAAGATAGTATTAGAAAATCAACCAAGTGAAACTCTAAATAAGAAAAAAAAAACAATGTGATCCGCAAATAATGTTTTGATTTTTTTTTTCCTAATTTTGTTTTAGTTTTAATGATGTTTGATACGATTTTGATTATATAGTTATAATACAGTAAATTTTAGTTATAGTAAAAGAAGAGCATTTTCCTAAAGCACTTTAGGCGCCGGACAGTCCAACCGGCAGTGGTCTCAACTGTGGTCTTCATGATCTTGCTAGAGGCGGCTTCCATGCTTAGCTTCACCAATGTTGTGCCTCACATTTTAGAAGTTCAAGAAATTTCAAAATTTTACTATAAAATATTTATAAAAATATAATTTAATATGTCAACAAAATTATATCCAATTTTTTATATATAGAGACAAAACTGTAATAGTAAATTTTGTATATAATTATATTAGTAATTGTGAACATATTTACCATTTATATATGTTAATTTAAATATGTATATTGTATATGTAAAGTTATAAGTGATAGACTAATATAAAACTAAAATATTAACGAAAAAAGTTTTGATAAAATATGGACAAAAACAATTAAAATAATAAAATACAATGAAATTACGACAAGAAATAAATTTAAAATATCATGAAGTAAATATAAAGTAAAATAATTAAACCAAATAAATATAGATGATTATTATTAACTATTTGATTAGTACAAATATAAGATATCAATTAAATGAAACACATCATAAATTCCCATATGTTAACGATGGATGTGTAACATTATAAAATTTTATGGAAAGAACTGAGAATGAAATTATCTAAATAAAATCAGTGTCCTAAAAATCATTTTAGGCGTTCTACTCTCCAAAACAGTAATGATTTTCTTATAAAACGTCTTGATAATTATAAATATTATAATACTAAATAACTACTTATAAATTTCATAAATATATATATATTATAAAATTTTATGAAAAGAAAAAAAAAGTAATATTTTTATTTGTAAATTAATGAAATAACCTATTATGTATATAATGTTCCAGGTGATAGGTATTGTGTCATCGTCCAATACTTTTTTGAACAATGGATAAAATTGATCAATTAACAGATACTTTTTTTGAATTGATTATAAAATTGAAATAACCGAATAATAGAGATCTTTATTAAATCTTCAAGTATTGCAACATATGAATAATTAATATTTCAGTCTTTTTTATCGCACATATCTGAACATGAATTCACACATTCTTTTGCTTTCTTTATATCTATCTCTTTTTCTGCTTGTTACACACAACAACAAAAGTCACAAAGATATAAAATATTGGTTAGGATAAATAGTTTATGCCGAATAGATATAAAAATAAACTTAAATCAAATTTATGATTATTGCCAAAACTTACTTGGATCTTGAGTAGAAACACAACGAAGATTAACACAATCGATTTCACATTGTTTCCCACATTTCTTTGTACATTTGCCGAAACATTCGAATATATTTCGTACAAATGGACTACTGATACATATGTTAAAACAAATATTGAAACATTTTCGAAAACTGTTGTTTATAACTTCTGATTCAACTATAAGGTTTCCAATCATCAACATCATCACCATAAATACAACCATTCTTTTCATCTCCATTGTTTTTAGAATACAAAGGTTTTTTCTCAGAAAGAGGGGGAGCAAATATATTGGTGAAAAAAATTAGCTGACTACTTAGTACTTTTATAATGGGCATAATATTTAGTCATAGTTTGTATAATATAATCCCTATTATTAAAACAAAAACATTTAATGGACCTAACATTTAGTCAAACGTTATACTCCCTCCGTTTCACTTTAGTTGTCATTCTAGATTTTTACACACAGATTAAAAAACCATTTAATTTCACACATTTTCAAGATAAAACACAATTACCTATACACCTAACCACTTTTCAACCAATAGAAAATATAATATTATATAAAAATAATAAATTTTTCCTCGAAACTCTAAACCAACATTTAATTTGTGACAAAAAACTAAACTCATAATAACAAGTATTCTGAAACGGATGGAGTAATATTTAATCTCTTTTATTAAAACATAAATGTTTTAATGGTCCTATCATTTAGTCATATGTTATATTAAATGTCATTAATTATATAAATTGAATAATTGACTAAAACAATCAAACAATTGAAAAGTGTATAAATTTTTTTATGAAAAAGTAATTGCCAAGTAAGTGTAAAATTTATCCTATACTTTAAGTTAAGAATTACCTATAATTTATTTCAAAAAAATAATTAATGTATATATATATACTAAAACGAATATGTTGTTTTTTTTTGAAAAAAGTATATTTTCAACTCAGTTACATCGTTTTTCCTTTTCGCCAAACCACCATTTTCTAACGTTGGGACATGAATTTAAAGTCCACCTGAAACAATGAAACCTCCTGATACAATACAAGAAATTGCTCGGTGTTGTCTCCAACACAAACTTTTGGACTGTGCAAATCAGAATACAAGAAATTGCTCGGTGCAGAGCCGGTCCTTGTTTTGTTGAGGCTACAAGCCAAAAAAAATAATGTGGCTGGTTAGGTTTTAACCCTTTACCTATATGGGAAGATAGAATAACATTTCCACTGGACTAAAGCTACTTTTGAAACATTTAGTGGCCGATATTTCTCTTAATAAATGAAGGCCGGAAGCCCTTGCTTCATTGACTTCTAGCAAGGGCCGGCTCTGGTTCGGTGTTATCTCCAACACAAACTTTTGGACTGTGCAAATCAGAAGTGCGATCAGGTTAAATAACTTCATTTTGTTTTTTTGATATTGCGTTAAGCCCATACTAATCTCTACGAGACCTTCCATATGGGCAGGTACAATTATAGGTGGAAAGGTGGCCGAGGTAACTCGAACCCAGAATGGAAATTCTAACTGGAATTTCATTACCACTAGACCAAGAGTTCTTAGTTATCAGGTTAAATAACTGATGGGTTTAAATGATATTCTAGAAAGAAGTGCAATCACATCACACATATCATTCCAACTCGCAAACTATGTGGTATGTCATCAACAAAAGCAGTTAATACCTAAACAAGAACCAATCATAGGAGCAGCATAGCTATCATCACATTATAGTCACCAAGAAGGAGCACCTTTGAATAGTCAAACAACAAATCCTACTCTTCTTTTTTTTCTTGTTACGTAAGCTGAGAGCATTCCCTTGCAAAGTGACTTTCCTCGCCCGAAGTAAAACACTTGCCACCACCGCCTTCTCTTCCGCTTCCTCTACGATCACAGTCACTAACCAAACGACCAATTACACCACATTCGTTATAACTTAACAAGCACCATCACCACCACCATCATCAGGAGCAATGAAACCATAACCTTTAGCATCGCTGAAAAAATTAACCTTTCCGGTCGAACTCGTCACCGTTTGATCGTCCTCCGTCATTAGATCAAACAAGAGACCTTTATCTCCGTTCAAACTCGCCACGTTTGCTTCCTTCTCTAGTGGCGGTTATTACCATGTGTGTACTTGAATCAGGCCTGTCTTATTCCTAACTTAGAACTGGGCCAAACTTAAGTATTGGGCCTGTCTACTTCAGTATTTTTTGCAACTTAGATCGACATAAACAACTAAATTTTACCGTGAAATTTATTCTAAAAATAAACCATCCAACCAAACAATTTATTGGACAATCATTCGTTGGATAAATGTTTATTGGTCTTACGATTTATTGAAATCATCATGGTCTTACTTTTGGAGACAATAATTATGAGAGCCAATATGTATTTTCTTCTTGAACCACTATGTATAATGTGATGGATTTAAAGACGCAGGACAACACAGTCAAAGTCAGAGTTCCTGTTAGAAGGTTTTGGATAGTTGATATCTCTTTCTTTGTTTTGTTTGTTTACTGGCACTTGTTCAAAAATCTTGTTAACTTCCACATACATTTTTAAATTAAAACTAATATGAATAGATTTTTATCTTCTTTTTTTTTTGCTCAAATATAGATTTCTAACTTGGAACTGTTTCTTATATATATTATTAGGTATTTAGTAGTTTTCGATGTGAAAGTATAACAAAATATTGATCGTTGTTATTAGTAGTGTTAATAATATTTTATTTACTTAAATATTGTTGTGTTACCAATCTACAGCATAACAAATTAGTGGAAGCAAGGTTGTGACTTGTGAACTCTGGAATGATGGAGGGAAGAAAGCATACGACTCCAAGAAGTAAAATGGAAACAACTTGTCTATTTTTTTTGTAAAGAACTTGCCTAACTGCAAGAGTATTTTAAAACTAGATGTGACACCAAACGTTTATGCCAGGCAAACTTAAATAAAACTTTAAAACACCAATTTTGGTGTATTTTTCTAAATAAATTGCAAAAGTTACTTATTAAATCTAATTTTGTATTTTGTAAATAGTGTTTATAACCAATATATATAATTTGACTTGAGTTGAATGTAACCAAAACATCTCTTTCCTTTTATTGTTACGAAGAAACCAATATCTATTTCTTATTTTAAAAACAGCACCTTTCTAGATATATTTTTACCAAAAAAAACTTTCTAGATATTAACTTCTCGAAAATATTAATTTTCCTTGATTTCATTAAAAATAATAAACAGTACCTTGGTCCTTGGAGAAGGAGTAGGACAAAGAGTGATGACAGAAAGTGAGCCGGAGCAAGTGAATCTTGTGCCATCGTCATAAGCGTAACTATAAGTCCTTGGACAATCCTTTTTGAAGAAACCAGAGTACTCACTCGGCTTACACTTGTCTGGCGTTCCGAACGCGCCGCTAAAGCAAATATTAATTATTTTTAGTTTATTGTTAACAACAAATATATTATACTATTTATATTTGTATTTTTATCTTCAAATTACTGAATACTAAAATCTTATTTCACTTATAGTTTTGGTTAATAATATAACTAAACGAGTATTCTTAGTTACATCATACTGTAACAAAATATAAAAGTCATTTATTTTGTACTTTCATTTTATAATGTATAAAATTTTAATTTAATATTTTACATAAATTAATTAATATATAATTTACTAGAAGAAAATTACATGTTAAACATTTTTAAAGAAACAGTGAACACATAGAACTAAAAAGTTTTTAAAAAATATAAATGTGCTAAAATAATAATTAATCAATTACAAATAACTGATATATAAAATTATTAAAAATTAATAATATATAATATTATTTTGGTGTAGAAATTGGTATTATGGTTAGAAATGAAAAATAAAATTGATTATCAAAACACAATTTTAGTGTTATTTTAATAATAAATTTGGTATTTTAGTTAGAATTTTCTTTTTTGACAAAAATAGTCGGTGTTGCCAATCAGTGTCTTATTTGCTACATTTTATAATCTTCTTAGAAATGTCAAGTTTTGCAGCTCAAAGTCAAATTTTGTTTATATCCAAAAACACATATTATACAACGCACGAACTTGGACGGCATTCGATCAACGTAGCACCGAAAAAAGATTGATGTTCTAGAAAGTCATTAATAAAAAGCTCGCAGTATTATCTGACAGTTATATTAACGACAACTCCTTAAGTCTCGCAAGACTTTACTTTGGATTAAAACCAGGGACCGACCATAAAAGTCTGGATAGTCTCGGATGACAAGGATTTTGCTGGAAAGCGTTATTGAATTGTAAGTTTTTTTCTTACCCTAATGAATTGTCTTTTTTTTTTTGGACAACCCCTAAATAAACTGTAAGTCTTTTTTTTTAATAAAAGTTTCCTTTTCATACTCAAAATTAAAATATCTCCTTTATATTATTTGAGAGCATTTCTGATATATTAAAACAGAAGTGATGACCTTTATTCATGTGAGATTTTTTTTTAAAATAAACCATCACTAGAAACTTTTACTATATGTATTTCATTAAATCTAATAATAAAATATTTGTAACTAATTTAATCACAATATATTTTGATATCTTTTCATTTGAAACATATATATATATATATATAAAAAACTTCTAACAAATTTGTTGTAAAGATATTACAAGATCTCACTTTTTTTAGATGTATATAAACTCGTAATTAATATAAAATATCATTATGCATTAATGTTATGCATTAATGTATATTCAGTTATCGTTTATAAAATATATATATATATTTTTTTCTAATCATAATCTATCATATTAAAATAATTAGTATAATGAAATAAATAGGATAAAATTATATTAAACTGATAAATTTATATATTTTATTTTCATAATATCAATTTTTATGTTAAAAGAATATAATATGTTAGCAAAATGGGTTAACATACTAACTATATAATAAATGTGTATAAATTAACATATTTTAAATTTGTATATATACAAATGTATTATCTAAATTGAATAAACATAAAAAAAATTCTAAAAAGTAATCCAGAACTTTGAAACGTGGATAAGAATAATATAAAGTAAATATATATTAATTTTAAATATGTTGTTTCATGCATATATTGATTCGTTTAATAATTAAATGCAAATCCGGTTAGATAAATGTATACCAAGAAGCCAAAAATACATGCATGTGGTTTAAGACAATTGATTAATTATAAAATGTAAACTAGAGCATTATTGTATTTGAAATCTTTATATAAACATTTAAAG